AGTAGCTATTAAGAAAATGAGGTATGGTGAATTAAGGGATCAAAATATACAAATTCTATTAAGAAGAATGTTAACATGTCATCCTATTGCAATATAGGAGATCCCATATCCCTGATGCTGCAGAAAAGATCAACTTTGGAGACAGATCACATAAACAAAATGGGATTCCAATAAATCAGCAACCAAGAGCACCATTTTCAGTTTTAGCTCAAAACTCTCACAATGTCAACTTGCCAGACCAGCATCATGCCTGCAATTTGAAGTTTAGTGATTATGGTAATGTCTTTAAATTGAAATTCTTTTGTTATGGAACTTAATACTTGCAGTTTGTGAAACTCAAAATAAGAGAGCAGGACTATATTAAGTGTGTTTGGTTTGCGGAAGTGTTTTCTGTTTTTATTATTAATTACAATTACAATGATGTCACATTATTTTCACCTTGTTTCCTATGTTGCCCATATCCTATTCAAATATTTGAAAACAGAAAACAAGTGAAAACCCTGTGACATTTTTGTAATCATTAATGAAAATTGACAATGAGAACATAAAACATTTTCATGAAACAAACACATCGTTTGATTTGTTTACTATGTTAATTTAAATTTTCAGTTAATATCTTTTTCACGAGTAATTATAAAAATATCACATTTTTTTGTTTTTTTGTTTCCTGTTTTCAAGATTTTGTGAAGGAAATGGTGAAACTGAAATCAACATAAGGAAAAGAGGAAACTAAATGAAAATGAGGTGACAGCTTTAAATTATAAGTGAAAACATTTCACCTGAAAATGAAAATAGAAAATAAGCCAAAACACCTCTAATATATTCAGCCTGAAATAACATTGGTCACCTATCATTCTAATGCAACTCTTGGTTTATCATGGTTTTGCAGTCCAAAACAACAAGATTCAAGGAACATTCCTTAAAAAGGATGACCCAAAGATAAATGCATTGATGCAACAAGCAGAGTTACTAAGTTCACTAGCTCTAAAAGTTGATGCAGAGAACGTAAAATTGTGGCATGTTTTTTGTCCCTTTTTACGTCGGTTTGTGAGAATCCCCGATGTAAATTTACGTCGCCTTTCAGAGGCGACGTAAATTTACGTCTCCCGTATTAACGTCGGAACCTTTTTCGACGTAAAAGGCTCAAAATAGGCAACGTAAAAGACCCTTTGTGTACTAGTGACTCTACATTGAATAATTTTTATCAGACACTTATCAATCAACACTTGGACAACATAGTCTATGGCAAAGGCACGACCACCATGTTTTATGTCTATGACATCTCTTAGTTCGTAATCTTTGAAGAAGCAAGTCATGTCTAGGAAAATTTCCTTCTCAAATTCCTTTAAGCCATCATAGCTTACTCTTAGAATTTCCTGAATATTTTCATGAGGAATTCTTTCATAAGCATCTAATGCCAACTTCCATTACAACACTGTTTTACCAAATAAATCAGAACCTATTAGTTCCAGAGATAATGGTAGGCCATTAGAATTGCTCTCTTTGAAATTTCCAGATAACCAAGATTAACTTGTTTGCTTTTGAAAGCATTCCAGCTGAACAATTCAAGGGCTTCTTCATGATTTAGCTCCTCTACTTCATAAGTTCTTTCAACACCATAAACATGCAACAAATGGATATCTCTAGTTGTTAGAATAATTCTACTTCCAGAAGCAAACCAATCAAGCCCACCTGCAAGTGCTTTTAATTGCTCCAATTTGTCAACATCATCCAAGATCAGAAGAATTTTCTTTTTAAAAACCTACTTCTAATTATTGGAATTCCTTTCTTTACATTCCCTAACTTGATGTATTTCATCCCAACTATATCAGAAAAGAAATGTCTCCTGAAGATGTACCAACTTAAGTTCACTGAATTTATCTATCTATCTACTTATAATATAAAAGTCAAGCTATTCTATATTACCTTAATATATTAGCTTAAAATGTTTTTAAAATATTGTCATGTCAACAAAAATGCTTACGTGTCATTTTATATTGTCTCTTTTATTTACATGTCATTCTATAATATTTCTCATATTTTAATATATATATATCTCCATAACCACAAATCCTTTATCTCCATATCTATAAATCTTAAATATTTGAATTAAGGAGCTCCATAGCCATTGTTCTTCTCCTCTTACGACGGTTCACCCCTTCTATTGTTTCATAGTTATCATTTCTTGTTTAAGCGAAAACCAATGGTTGCACCTCCATAACATACCCGCAACGGCTGCACTCAATTCAACCATCTTTTTCGTTAAATCAAAAACCGTGATGGCCACTACTTCTTCGTCACGTATGCACAGTAGTTGCGCCTCCACCGCATACGGTTTCAAATGGTTGATAATAACATTGGGTCTTTGAGGATATTAAAGTTAAGGAGCAAGGTATAATAGACATTGTCACAGAAAGAGGTAGGTGTATTCTAATACATACTTTTTTAGTTATGATAGAAAATTTATTAATATAGCAAACTGAAATTTAATCTATTTTTTTACTCAATTTGCTAAACTAAATCTCTTTGTTGGATTACTTATAATTTTAGATATTATGTCTTTCAAATTGTTCCTCACAATCACTTTAGTATATTAAATTCTTATCTCTGTTCTAATGTTAACAACACTTGATGATAGCTAACCATGGTTAGTCTAGCTAACTTGCACCATAAGTTAACCAAGTCCTATATATATATTTTTTTCCTTGTAATGGTTGAATAATTTTGAGCATTTTTATTGAATTGGATGAACTTTTCTCTAATTCTCTCTCAAAACATGTTTCTCTCTTTGAAACTTCTTCCTTTTCTCTTATCCTCTCTTAAGTGGTGAGAATTTGAAGAGACTTATCACTCGTCAAGAGTGTGGTATCACCTAAGGGAGATTTTACCTTTTCCTTGTGTGTTAGACATGACTTCAAACATCATAGGAAGCCATTGAAGGAGCTTGGAGGAATACAAGAAGTTAAAGATCCATCCAAGAAACTTGAAGGAGGAACTACATCAATCTAGTCTCTCCTAAAGTTTCTATCAATTAGTTTTCAAAAACCTTAATTATTTAACAAGAAAAGAAACCAATTCAAGATTAATACAAAATCTTAGCCAATAAAAATTTCTTTTAAAATGTAATTTTTAGTTCTTTTAACTATCTGTTTAATGCCTTAATATTGGCTATATTTAAAGCAATACTTCTAAATTCCCAATTTAAAGATTTTGAAAATAAGCATCAATTTCTGTTTGGATTTCTTCTAGATAATCAATGACTAAACTTTGCTTATTTTTAACAAACTTTCTTATACCACAAAAATATTTAGAAGAATACATTCACTACCATGGGAGATTTTTTTGAGTTTGGCTCCGATACGAAATGCCATCAGCTGCACAATAATTAAAGCAAAAGTAAGATAATTAAATAAATAGGAAAGGAAGTAATCACTCATGCTTAATTAATTTATTTTTTCTCACACTCTACAATCTTTCTTCATACGACCATATCTACCACATTTATAACAAACTATATTAGACTTTCTTTTATTATATTTTTGCATTGGATTATTATAAAGTCTTGAAAATGCATGGAAGGTGAGGCTTGATAGTTTCAGAACTTGCTTTCGTTTTGATTTTTGAACAACTTACAGGCTTCTTTATAAATGAGCTCCAGTTGATGTCATCAAGCAAAGACCAATTTATAGATTAAATGTCATGAAGTTCAACATCAACAGAATTAAATCATTTTTTAACATGTCAAGGCTATCTACACAAAAGTCATTTGTCAGCTGGATAGTATACATTTATTATTGGAGAGATTACCTTGATTCTGCTAATGCTTGTATGCATTTGTATACTAGCTGATTTTTCAGAGCCTAGTTCTTCAGCACCCGGTTGTTGCTAATCACAAAGAATTAGGCATTATATGATAGTATAATTGCTAGACTAATGCAACATTTCTGCCTGTGAGTTTAAAACATTTATAAATTTCAAAGCTTTTAGGTTGAGTACCAGGAATGAGTCATGATTTGTTTATCTCTATTCTCTGACATGTCCCTTTACATAAGAGTCACTTTAAGTGTGGAC